TGGATTTCAGGCATTGTATAATTATAAAATATATGGCCATTAGTTTTGTACATGACAAAACATTGAATAGAAATAGTGAATACATCAGTTTTAGGCAACAATATAGGCTTTAGTACATTCAATAGAGTGCATTTTCGATGATGAGTAAGCTTTTAGGAAGTGGACTTGAATGCGGAGTAAAGCTAGACTAGTTTGCTCTGATATCATTTTCAGAGAGTACCTAAAAATAGCTGAAATCACAAAACAGAAGAAAGCATCAAACCCCAGTCCCGCCTCTTGTTCAACTTTACCTTTTCTAAGCTTATCTTAAAACGACATACGGAGGTCGCATATTTGACCTGGCAATGGTGAGTCATGCATTTATTCGCTACTGCCGCTCCCTTCAGCCTTCTCACAATATGTTTATGCAGCCAACAATATTAACACTCATAGTTCCCACTTCAGATGTGTTTCCATGACTAATTTACATCGAAAAGGAAAATACAAGCTAAACCGATGACGAAAAACTTTCATTTGAAATGTTTCAGTTTAAAAACCCCGGCAAGGAGTGGCGACCAGCTACTGTGGCAGCACGCAAGTGAAATATAATAAATTATATTTAATGGGAAGGAATGCTAATCTGAGTAGGATTTAGAGTTTGCTACACTTGAAATATTTTGGGTAGAGCTAATTTTGCAAAATGCCTGACTCAGAAATAATGAAGAGATTTCTTCCAGACTTATTTAATCCTATTGTTTGTATGTTTTTATTGATTACAGAAAAACAAGTAATGCAGATTATCAGCAGAATTAGTTTCTGGGATTTGTACGACTGACAAAGAAATCCCCCATTGTTCTTTAAGTCTACTTGAAACTGTTGCTTATGTTTCCTTCGGTATTAGATAAAGGATGAAAGAGCATCAAAAGATTTGCATACAGCTATATTAAAGGCATTACAGCCGTCAGTGTCAGGGCTTATCAGTTCTGAGTCACAGTGCTTACTGCTACCAATTGATTACCATTCAAACTTTTTAATGTTTCACCAAAGTTTGCTTTAGTTTTTTAAATTTATTCATTTACTGCTAATTCGTTTATTTAGCTGACAAACAAAAAATGAGGCAACTCAGCTCTGAAAAACAATTGTTTTCCTGAGAGTATTCTTTACTGGTTTACAATGGATTACTGATGTAAGCCTGGAGACAAATCAATCGGTTTCCTTTAACAGTCAGGACATTTATCATGCAGCCTACAAAGCCAGCTCAAAAAAAAAACGTGTTCATGACAGCTGGACGGAGAGAGCAGAGAAGAAAAAAAAAGAGAAAAAAAGATCCTAGTAAATCCCAGGATTCCTGAGAAGGAAGGTGTGGGCTGTCATGACCATAAGTGATCTGCCTGGGCGGGTCCTTTCCACCCAGGTAGTTTCGCCACTTTCTTCTTGTGCCTTTCAGCTTGATGTCACTCTGGACTTTTGAAGTTTTAACAACAGGACTGAAAAGACACAGAAAAGGGAAACACGTTGGTGCGAGCCTCTGCTGACTCTGACACGAAGGTGAGTTGTCTTTTTACTTCCGGATCTTACCTGAAAATAGTGTTTGTCTCTCAACAAACGTCTTTTTAGTTGTTTATGAACGACTAGAGAGATTAACACGAGGCCTGAACAAGTTGCGATTCAGCCTTTATTTGGCTTTAACAGATTTTTGGTTCACGTAATTTACTAAAGAGTCAAAGCCAGTGATTATAAACTAAACCATTTTAACACACTGTTGAACTCTTTCTCTATAACTTCTCTGTGGTGATGAATGCTTTTAAGTGTTATTGCAGTAGCTTGTGTACTGTTGTCCTCAACTTACTCATAGACTGTAATGCCTTATCCATTGCTTAACATGGCTGCTCACTGTTTCAGTGAATATTTGTAACTGTGTCCCCACCCTGTCCTATTTCTCTTAGTCTGAATGCCTCCTCCTAACCGACAGAACTCTGGGACAAAGAGCTGCACCACAGTCCTGTATAAACAATAGTTCAGTTCTATTTCTCTGCAAATTATTTATCAGGGTACTTCCTGCCTTCATGAGTGGAACCATGTTTGCATTCCAAACCTGCTGAGAGGTTCTTGTTAAAAGATGCAACCAGAGGGTCCTCCTGCTCCACCACCTCCACTTCTGGTACCACCTCCACCACCTCCTCCACCTCTGGTACCGCCACCACCACCACCTCCACCTCCACCTCCACCTCCACCTCTGGTACCACCACCTCCTCCTCCACCTCCAGCCCCTGGCCTTTTCCCACCCCAGCATGGCCCAGGTTTCATCAAGGGACAGCGCCGGCGCTCCAGGATGCGCAATTTCAACTGGGAAACTCTTCCCAAGCAAAGTGTCATAGGAAAGCACAACATCTGGACAGCGGATAAGACTGATGGAGAATATGAGCTGGACACTGATCGCATCGAGGAGCTGTTCAGTCACAAGCAGGTCCAGCAGCAGCTCAAGGCCCAGAGTGTGAGGGGCCTGTCGGCTCCAGCCTCAGGAGGGGAAGTGGTGAGTACAGCCAGCCAGAGAATGCAGGCGTCACACACACTTTATATATCACAGTGGCACTTTAACACCAACAGTAGACTGAAATGTCTGTATGGAAGACATGGAAACAACGTTTTATTTTTTAAACCTGGATTAAACATCTGTCCAGTGTTTCCCTCTATTGCATGTAATGCCCCTATTCTCTGTGAAAGTGATTTTTAGGAAATAGGAATATGTTGATACTTTGGAAAATGTCTAAACTCTTTCCCCATTAGACTTAAAAAATATATGAAAAAAAATCAACTTTCACACCACATAACCAAAATCATAACAAAAAATATGATGTAATGTGTTTATTAGAAACATTACGTATTGATGTACAGTCACTCAATACAAGGGTGGAGTCTCACTATTCTTCATATCTGTTTGCTAAAGGAAGGTAATAGAGGCATCATACAGCAGTAGTCTACAGTAGCCTACGTATGCTCTGTATTTAAGCTATTGTAACTAATAAACTGCATGTATTTACATTTATCTAAAGGCAAGTCTTCAGAGAAAACACAGAGGAACAAAGAAGTTTGCATGTCTGTCTATACCCCCTCACTTTAATTTCCTTTGTAGATCAATCACCATTTGTCTAACTGGAGTGTCTTAAAATTTGTAACTAAATGTTTATTTTGACCTATGTACTATTTTCTAAGAGCAACAGTGAGATAGTGTACCATCGATGCAAAACGGTATCTTTTCCATGATTGTTCAATATAGTCGAAGAAATCTTGACCTTTGGAACCTTCTGTCTCTCTGTAACACTGAGGTGTTTGTTGATACAAAAGGCGGCGCTCAAACCAATTGTGAAAGCAACTAACAAGCTAATTACTGAGGTTTGTGTCTGTTTTTATTTCCAGGTTTCTATCCTCAACTCCAAGAGGAGCATGAATATTGGAATTTTCCTAAAGCAATTCAAGCGGTGAGTCAGTGGCAGTAGTATTCTTAAGGTGTGATTGGTTTTGCCCAATAATCCGTCCGTCTTACAGTGCAAAACAGCGCAGGATGAGGCATACAGAGTTGTCTGCACCGTGGCTGCATCACAAGCCCTTGAAAGCCAGCATGTCCTGGCAGGTCTGATCTGCGCTGTCCTACAGCTCCGACAGGTTACCTCCCTGAGGTATTCAGATCAGACCAGTTGTTAGGAGGTATTGTAAATGTATTGCCGAAGGTGATTTGGCACACGCAAGTAATCAAACAGGAAGTGGAAAAAAATACTACATCCTTCTTTATAGTCTAAAACATTTGTCAACAGACTACCAGAAATGTCACCAACAGGACAACAGAATGTCTACATTTATATATATACTGTACTTTTTACTTATTTCTATCAAAAATGTGTTTCTCTCCATTCCAAACACATGTTTTTTGTCAAAGGACACCTCATCATTTTTATGTCTTGTACGGTATGAACTTAACTGAAGACTGGAATCTGAAATGTTTTCATTACGCAAAGCAATTTGAGCAGGTAAAGGCTTGTTGTTTTCCAACCATGAAAACATGTGGTGTCAACCTAGAAACACTGCTCCCAGCCTTAAACAAACACTTAAAACATTAAGGTAAGTGATGACTACTGAAATAAATCCTATCTTTCCCTCTACCTCCATCCACAGGTCTTTAGAAGACTTGATTGAAGAAATTAAATCAGGAAGCAGTCGCAGTTTTGGTCCTGGAAAACTGCGGGACTTGTGCAAGTTGCTGCCAGATGAAGGGGAGGTAAATGAATCTGCTACTTATTTTCTTTCTATTGTTTCGCATAAATCTTACAACCTTGTTACCTGTGATTTTCTCCCATAAAAAGACAATCTGTTTTTTTCTGTTTGTGGTCTTTATTTTCCATGAATGCAGGTTAAGCAGCTGGTGAACTTTAAAGGCGACCTCTCCGCAGTCCCTGAAGCAGATCTGTTCATGCTAATGCTTGTCAAGATTCCTAGGTAAGCTACTTGAATGTAATTTCGTGAATTGCTTTTGCTAAATGAAACTTGTGGTTTGCTAATGATGGAAACTTTGCATCTGTTAGTTATGAAGAGCGTCTGAGCAGCTTGGTGCTGAAAGAGGAATTTTTCCCCCTCATGGATGAAATGAAAGGATTAATTGGTACTTTGACAGCTGCTGGAAGGGGTACTGTTGTTTTTCTGGTTTTCAAATAGATTAGACTCAACATATTTTGGACAAAAATAGAGTTACAAGCCTATTTAGACTTGAAATTAAACGCACATGTCTCCTTTTAGAGCTGTTAGAGTCTGATCATCTCCATTCTGTCATCCGTTTGGTACTGAAGACTGGAAATTACATGAATGCTGTGAGTATATAATATGTGATAGTGGAGTCTTAAATGACTTTCCTTTGTTGATGCATCATTGATCTCACTATCTTTATTTGATTACAGGGCGGTTATGCAGGCAGTGCAATTGGCTTTCGAATGCCTTCTCTGCTGAAGCTCGTGGATACCAAAGCAAATAAACCGGGAATGAATCTTATGCATTATGTTGTGATGGTAAGTAGCTTGTATTAGGTTAGTCTAACTGCAGTGTGGAGTCAGTTTTTCCTGTATCTTAAGATGTGTTTGCAAAATCTGATTTCTGTGCAAACTTTTATATTCACCACAGCAAGCCCAGAAGGCAGATATGGCCCTGCTTAAATTTCCAGAACAGCTCAAACATATTGAAGATGCAGGAAGGTAAACAATTTATAAAAGACAAACAAAAAAAAAACGATCTTACTCTGTATATTTTAAAACCCTTCTTTTTCTGCACCATGAGAATTAATGTTTCTTCCCTTTTCTTTTTTTTTTTTTTAAGAGTAAATAAAGGTGACATTGACGCAGAGTTTAAAAGACAGACGAAGAAAGTTCAAGATGCCAAAGCAGACACCTTGAAGCATGAAGACCTGAAAGTACAAATGGAGGATTTTCTAAAGGTGAGGATTTGTTTTTTTTGGGTGCAATTTTATGTGAATTTTGACGATGGATGCACGTTCTAATGGCATGATTTTGGCTCCAATTAGGAAGCTGAGGTTTGTCTGGCAGAAATAGAGGCTGATCTTGAGGAACTACAGTCATTGAGTGATTCTGTAGCAGAGTACTTCTGTGAGGATCCCACAAAGTTTAAACTGGAGGAGTGCTGCTCCATTTTCAACTCCTTCTGTGAGAAATTTATGCGGGCCGTTCAGGTAAGCCTGTGTACATGAAATGTTGCTTAGCTGAGCTAAAAAAGAAAAATCTCTTATGGCTACATTAACCATGTCCCCTTCTGCAGGAAAACAAGGCAAGAGAGATGGCAGAGGTGAAACGGAGACAGAGGGACAGATTACAAAGTGCAGCCAAGCGCAGGTCCACAGCTACCTGCTCCAGCAGAGACAAGGAAATGGATGGTATTGCATTAGAGTCCGTGCTACAGAACTTCCTCACCAATCGCGTCTCCAGGAGGAGATCTGGGAGGCCCTCGTCTACTTATGGAAGCCCCACGAGTAGCAGCCCTAATAATGGGAGCCTATCAGAAATTACTTCTCAGACCAACCTCCCCGCTGGAAACCAAAAGCACGGAGGCTCCTTAGCGTTTAAAGCTAAGGAGATGGGCAGAAAAGAGTGGAATTCAGCAGTTGAACTCACAGAGAAGGCTTCATTAAAGAAAGATCAGTCAAATATTGAAAACAACAACGCAAAAAGTGACATTTCTTATAAAGATGAGACGAAAACTTCCAGAAAAGAAGATCCCAGAGGATTTACACACCCAGCCAAAAGGACCAGCAGCATTGCCTCTGTAGGCAGATCTTTCTCCGCCACCACTGATGACAGCGACGAAGATCTGCAAGACAATAATGAGGAGGAAGCCCAAAAGTTACGTGAAGCATCTAAAAAAGTTTTGCGCTTTCAGAGCAACCGTGGCAGTGTCTCATCTGGGGACTACTCTCTGGACAGTCAGAAATCTCCCAGTGCAAAAAAAACTTTACCTCGTGCGCTAACTTTTGATGAGCACACTGAGAGGTATCCTGGGGACCCAACCAATGAGGATATGGTTCAGTCTTTGTTTAATCCTCAGTCCTCCTCAAAACGTAACCTTGGTCGCCGGCATACTCTACCTACCAAAGTCCCTAAAACTGAGGAAGATGAGGACAATCTGTGGATTTCTCCAGTCATAACTCCAAATCCTGCGGCAGGAGAAAAGGGACCGCTATCAGGAGAGGCTGCTGGACACACTCCCCCAAAACCAGTATTTGATTTTACTGACATTTCTCACAACTTTAAAAAATCTGGTGCTCAAAACCAGAATTCTTCCTCTGCAGAAAAGAAAAGTATGCCAACTGTTTCCTTAGCCCATGTACCAGATGCAAGGTTTCTGGAGCAGAACCAAGAGGGCAAATCAGTGGAGGCTGGAGGCAGCAACCTACAGTTAAACAGTGAAAATATTCCACCTAAGAGTGTGTGGTTTAAGACAGAAACATCTGGGCTATTTTATAGCTTTTTCAAACGCCTCGGAGATATGAGCAAACCTCAGAACAGCAAGGAAACAGTCCAAAAGGTCACAGATTCTAGTGTGTAGGCTTTGACATATATTTATAAACTTGTGAAATACAGTATATGTATGAATTTAAAGCTAATGTAACTTTAGTGTTACTTGCAGTTAACTCATAAGAGATACACTATAGCTGGCAATCACATTGACAATATAGTGTTATCTTTCATGGAAATTTTGTGAACTGATAAAGATATGAGAGAAGGGTCTAGGAAAGTGGTTGGAGAATGGGTTTGTTGTGGTGGAAAGGCTTGTTTGTATGTTGTACCACTAGATGGCAGAATAACTAAGCTGAAAAATGGAGGTGGTGGTGATGTTCTGACAATCTGTATGTCTAGTTAAGGAAGATGGTTGCACTCACTGTAAAACGTTTTGTCATGCTTAATAATATTCTCTTGACAACAATAGTTAATACAGTGTGTGTTCTATGTCAGATTTTAAACCTTGCAGAATGTACTGAGAAAGTGAATGATTGTAGAGTGTGGAGATAAAGGAGCATGGAGAAATCAAACTGTATTAAAGTCTTGGTTTGGTTGTTATTTTTTTATACTAGCATTTGCTTGCACTGTCTATGCAGCGTTGCTACTTTTCAGTTGTATAATGAAAAATATACTTGCATCCTGACTCTGTGTCCTCCTCGACTCTTGTTGTCACAAGCACATCAAAAATGCACAAGACCGTGGTTGCTTTCAGGGTCTCGCTCAATTCAGCCATTGTTTTCGGTCTTAAATGGGTCAGTGTTACAAAGACAGCCTGTATCTGAGCAGAGCTGAACCATGGATCGTCCATGGCAAAGTGAAGAGTGCTGATCCCAAATTAACTTGAGAAGAGATTACCATGGTTGAAAGGCCAACAACTGGTGGCTGATTATGATAGAAAATAGCAGCTTACAGCACAGCCAGACACATCCTCAATATCCCCATTAGCTGTGAGCAGAGGCAAGGGGTCAGCGAGGTTGAGTCAATGCACCTAGCAGTTCATAATGTTAGTTCAACTTCTGGTATCTCTCAGCAGTTGATACCAGAGTTACAATAATGATCTGTCTGGTGCTATATCAGGCTGTTCCTGTTCAAGGGAAGCTGTGGAGCAATGGAAATGACCTGTGTAGTGTTCTCATTTAAACACCGAGTGGAGCAATCTGAGGCTTTTTTTTTTTTTCATATAGTTCTTTGTGATCAAATATTTATTAGATTGAGATACATGGTTACTGAAATTACAGAGATATGATGCAAGTTGTGACCTGACAAACTATTCTTTTCTTACTGATCAATAACTAGTCAGTGGTGAATAAATGAGTTAGATTTTATAGGTAAAAGGATCACTGGTACCTCTACTTTCCACCACAATTGCATTAATTAATATTCACAAACAAAAAAGCTCAACTGCATAATTCTAAAGCTCAACAATTTTTGTAACATGTAGCGACACAGCATACCTACTCCCTTCATGATGAGCTTGTGTTGGGGTACATCATAACAATTTGACCTGGAAAACATAAATTTAGTGTCTCTTTTTAGTGATCCTCAGATTCCACAGCAATGTAAGTCTTCTAAATTTGGTTAAAATGGAGATAGTGGAGTCATGTTAAAGCTTCAGTCAAAAGGCTACAGGAACAGCATCTGATGTGGAGCATGGCTGTAGCATAGTCATATTATTATGAAAGCTGACATTATTATGTGTGGAACCTGCCTTAAATGTGTAGTGTAATAATGGCTGTGTGAGAAATAGTCCCTTGTTACAGGACTGACTGTGAAGAAGAAAAATCAATAAAACAGACCCATTGAATAAAACCAAGTGATGAAATTTGACTTATCGTTTAAAGCTGAATAGATATGTGATGAGGAAATAAGAACTTGGGTCCTTTATAAATATGATGCATGTTATGTGATTTACCGGCAGTGCCAGTCTTTTGCCATTTAGATGCACACAGTGTATGTGTGCTCTGTTCACTGCTGCTGTCAGACTGCAGCAGCCATCTTGACTAAACTGGAAGCAGTCTCCATGGCAACTCCACGTTGCAGAATAAAACCCAGAGATGACTGTGTTTGCCCCTCACCCAAAGCCCCACCCCCAACAAACTCCTCACCGCCTGCAACACCACAGCAGCCTCACACGGTGCAACACAGCACATCATAATACAGTGCCATCTTTTTGTTTTTGCATTCATAAGCCCTGCCATGTAAATGCATCTTCACTGGCCTCCCCCGAGTCAGGGTGAAAGATCTTGCATATTTTTCTCCTCTGCATACCCTACAATATTTATACATGTATATACAGACACTCATATATATTTACACGCTCATCAAGTGCCTTTACTGCCAGCTGACTCCACCGAAAGAACCTCATACTGAGTGCTCCGTCCTTCTGCCTTCCCCCAAAACCCTCTCATCACTCCACCCTTATAGACTCTACATACTCCACAGTAATAGTGCATTCTTATTAGCAGCTCCCTGTTAAAAATGCAAGTTCCAAGAGAATACAGCATGTAAAATACTGTGAAATTGTGAAATCACTGAACTAAAGTCAGTTTCAGGATTATTCCTTGATTATTTCATTGAAAGGTATATTCCTTTTGTCTTTATGCTCCAATAATTCTTTGGTTCCTTATAATTTAAAGCTTAAAGGTAATAAACTGCATCCTTTGTCCTTTTAAGGCAACTGGGTGGGATTTAAGGAAGCCAAACCCCTTTGCACCAGACAGACTTATCCCTCAGTCAGGTCCCGAGATTTCACCTCTTTTGCATATTCCCTGCCCCCTCCATATGCTATTGGGTTCCTCAGCTCCTCCCATCAGACATCTGACCAATGCTACGTGTAAGCCACTCCTCCAACCTCCTCCCTTCCCTTGTCCTCTTCCTTACTGTCCCCTTCTTCTCCCAGACAGACCCTGCCCTTTCCTTTCTGTCGCCCTGTCTGTGGATTTCTGTTGTAGAGGATTGGGACACTGACAATGGGAGGCTTTCTCTACGGCCTGCAATGCTGACACTCCAGTCCCTCCTGCTGGGAATTCATGTGAGTACAGTCTGGCCATTCACTTCTTTTTATGGTATCGTATTTCTGCTTTCTCATCTTGTTTGTGCCTGTATCTGGAGTCCTCAATAATACAATGACTGGGAGAAGAGCAGATGAATAATTGATTACTCCATCCCAAGCAGCATCTGTGCATTGGTAAATCACAGAGGGGTTGTACTTATTAACCATGATGTCTTCTCTTTTGTTACATACTCTGCTCTTTTTTTTTTATTTATTATTTCATTCTGATCATCGATGAACAACATAAAATAGAAGCATTTTATTCCAACCTTGTCTAAAAAGCAACTGTTGCACTAAAATACTCTGCTGCTCTGATTCTTTATTGCTTCCTCAACCAGCCCACACACTTCTCCATTTTAGCTCCTAGCTGGCTGCCGGCTGGCTGCCGGCTTTGTAGCAGGTGGGCATCTCTGCTGCAGTCTGAGGGCTGGGCTCTGTAATCAAGCATACACGCTCTTTTGTTTAGAGGATTAGTGATCTTTCACTGGTTTTCTGATCTGAATTTGTATGGGGCTGGGAAGCGATGTGAGCCACATGTGAATCAGCATGATGTTTGCTTATGTCACTCTGACTCCTTGTGTTGCACTATACTGCAGCAACAGCACCAGGCAATGCATCATTTTTACACCTCTGGCCCAGACTGTGAGCAGATGATACAATGGCTCTGTATTGATTAGACATTGCTCATAAAGATGGTTCATCGTCGCGTGAAACTATCTCAGAAGTTACTTTTGACGTGTGCGGCTGACAGAGATGTTTGGAAGGTCTTGCTATGCTGGCTGACTGCACTGGGTCACAGGGAGGTTGCAGACGGTCCTGGATGCTGCGCCAGAGGGCAGATTCTTAGCAGGGGTTCCATGTCTGCGTCAGGGCTGTAGTGTTCCAGTCACTTTGCATACATTGGCTGGGATTCTCAGATTATGTCTCTTTTCATTAGGTATACCAGGACAGCAGCATGTGCAAGACAACAAACAAGGGCGCTATCCCGGCCTTGCAGTACGAGCACAGACCGAATTGCTTCAGCATATCTTTGTAAACACTGCAGCAATGACCAAGAGTTTTGCACCAGAAACATAGCTCAAACTGTAGGTTAGAGGAGGCTACGACCTTTGAATACTAATTTGATCAAAGGCCCACATGTGGCAGTGGTCATGTTTCTCAAAATCAGTTCCCTCTTCAACTAGTAAAAGAGAACACAGGCAGATTGGTAAACAGATTGTACAGAGATTGATTGCTCAGGTTGAGTCTGATCTTTTAAATTCAGTTATATCATCGTTTAAATGAGGCCCATGGCAGGAATTCTGCTTTCTGAACTAGTGCACTAAAATCACATGCTAAAGACCTAGTGTGATTAAATTTAGTATCAAATAAAGATAATGAGCTCATAATGATCTTAATGACCCTCCTAACCATTTTACATGTCATTATAAGGTCTGTAGAGAACCCCATGCAAAATAAGTACTTAGCTGTAGGTCCTGATGTCAACCATACTATAATATATTCATGCTGATATTAGGCTGAGAAAAAGTACAGTAAAATGATAAATAACAGATGATAGTTTTAGAGTAAATGTACAATTTCAATACCCCTGGTTAATTAACGACAAGGACAACAAATAAGATGCAACAATATATTCTGAATGCCATTTTATTTGTATTCTGTTCAAATATTGTATGTCCTCTAGGTCTACACTGCAGATTGATCAGAGCCGATCATTAGGCTGTAATTTGCCCTCCTTTAAGATGGATTAGATTGAACCACTTGTCTAGGTCATTTTTACAACCGCTAATTTCACTACTAGATGTTTCCTTTTAGCTCTGTACATGAGGCTTCATGAGTCTATCCTAACCTCATCAAGTGGGAGGCAGTCACATCAGACATGATATAATGAATATTAGATGAGACCTCATGAGGCTGTAGAGCAATGTTTTTTTTTAGTCTAAGCTTTACATCAATAAATTCAGGAAAAGGCACTACCATAGCAGCACGGGGATGATGATTTATTTCATCTTTAAAATTTCAGCAACTGAACTTAAATGTCATCCTCACATATTTTTATTGAACTGCGGCACATCATTTAAATGTCTCTGGGTATATGGCAGTGTACAAAGATAAACTGAATCTAGGTGAAGAGGTGCTTCCAGGAAATACAAAATTACAGCCGTTTTTAAAGGTTAGCATTTATCCTGTGAAGCATGTTGCAAGACTGATGAACAAAGCAAAGCCTTTTAAGTCTATCGTAATAATGCAACACAAACCCAATATTACATTTAAAATGTAAAAATCCATCACACAGTTTCACAGTGATTTCTCTTCTCTGTTGTGACAGAGTTGCTTTTTAGAAATCCAGCACAGATGCAGTATATTTTATCAAACCTAACATTTGTTTTGCTCCACAAAGCCAATCTTTTGTTAACAAATTGCTACGCCATTAATGCTTCATAGTGCACACACTGACTACTGGTAATCAAATCATTCAGTGAAATATTGCTGGTGGACTTTCCCAGGACACCATGTGCGAGACATTATGTGACCATTTGAGTCACAACATGACACAGTCACTCTGTAGCTCTTACTGCAGGTGAATAAGC